CTCTCTCTCTGTCAAATAAATAAATAAAATCTTTAAAAAAAAAAAAAAAAGAAAAGAAAAGGAATCCACTATCAATGGTGAGGATGGGCCCTTAAATGTCATGGATCACTGTGGGCTTGCTCCAATCTCTATATAAGTCATTGAGAAAATCCTAAGGTTTAAAGTCATTTGGTTTCTAATATGGAGTTATCTCACATACAGAACACACATAGAATGTTGAAACTTTTTTTCCATTTTAAGTAGATGGTTAATGAAAAACTAGACAATTTTCATGTTTCAATATTAAAAAGATATAACTTATTTAAAAACGTTTATCATTATTCTAACTAATCTTTTCAGAGACACGACAAAAAAAAATTAGAAGTTCAGAAGCCAGTTTATATAAGGATAAGGCATCCTTTAAAAAAAATTTCCCAAAGGCCATCTGTTTATTTAACTGTCAGGAGACAGGCTCCATTCAGAAATCCTTATACTCTTAAAGCCCATACAGAAAATGGAGACTCTAAAAAGTCCAAAGATGACAAAAAAGGAAGAACTTTGCAGAGAAATTCCAAGAAAAACAAAGGCCCACATGAAACAACTATAGAATCTAAAATGGTAAATGATGAGAAACTTAAAAGAGGAAATAAAGCAGATAAAACTCCATCAAAATTATCACGTAAAAGTGAACTATCTAAGGATTCAAAGTCCAAATTAGAAATAAACCCAGAATCCAGTGATTTTAAAGCTGTCTCAATGTATCCAAAAAAAGATAAGAGAGATTTGAAGAATTCCAAGGAGACAGATAACGAATTCATATGTGCAAAGAAGGATTCTAAAGACTCAAAGAACAATTCTGATGCCAAATCACAGACTTGTTCAAAAAATAGTTCAAATATGGATTTCATACTGTATTTAGAGGAGTCTGGTGCTGAATCTATGAAATGTGATATGGGGTTAAAGAATTACTCTCAGAATAATTCAAAGAAGCCTTCAAAGAAGGACACAAAAAAGGATGCAAAGAAAAGCTCTGATGCTGAATCTGTAGACTCAAAAGATGCAAAGAAAGATAAGAAAGGTCCAAAGAAAGAGAAGAAGGATGCAAAGAAAGACACAGAGTCTACTGATGAAGAATCTGCAGACTCAGAGGATGCAAAGAAAGAGCCAAAGAAGGCTAAGAAAGATTCAAAGAAAAGTGACAAGAAAAAGGATACAAAGAAGGATGCAGTGTCTACTGATGCTGAAACTGAGTCTGAATTGGAGACAAAGAATTGGAAGAAAGATGAAAAGAAGGAAAAGAAAGATTCAAAAAAAGATGACAAGAAAAAGGATGCCAAGAAGGATGTAGTGTCTACTGATGCTGATTCTGAATCTGAATGGGATTCAAAAAAGCATAAAAAAGTTGAAAAAAAGGATAAGAGAAATTCAAAGAAAGATGACAAAAATAAGTTTTCAATGAAGTCTGAAGAGTCTACTGAAACTGAATCTGAATGGGATTCAA